AAAGAAGTACGCACATTTTTTAATACACTTATCAATATTTTGTTTGAACATCTTAGAAAGGCTGTTCCTGTCTGGGAATTTTGCTCGCTTTTTAAAAACAATCGTCAGATTTAAATTCACTTTTATAATAAATTCTTGATATATTCATGTACAACTTAACAATATTTATAGCTAGAGACGTGAGAAATATAAAATAAGAGACGCCCCTCGATGCGCAGTGGACAGCACACAAATTTGCTTTAATCATATTTGTCGTAGCGTAACTGCATCTCTCTTCCGCCGAATGCGTTCTCTCTCTATCATGTGCGCGACCGGTGCTATCCTCAAGTCTCTTCCTATATTTGTCAAACTGTAGAGGATATTATTATAAGATTACTTATTTATCACCCTTTTAATAAATGATTTATCATAATTTTTGCATAAAAGTTTTTAAAGTAATTTTTCACGAATTTAGTGATCTTAGTATTTTTTTTTGAGATCATACAATATCCTAGTGGAGTACATTCTTAAGGCGGGCTCTGACAACTCGTGTACTTGGCAAGTATTTTTTATTGTCATTCAGGGTCTGGCGAGGATACGACGTATATTTCCTATAATAAATAACTTAGAAATTCTGTATAGATGCCCGATGCACCATGTATACCCTGTATATCTACGAATTACAAATGTTTGTCAAGTACACGAGTCGTGAGAATGCGCCATCGTACTTGGCAAGTATACTATCTTTGTAAACAACATTTTTAGCTACAAGCTTGACGCTCACGCAGCGCGACGAGTCACAAATAATTGCACAAGTAAATCGCTCACACGATTTGGCAACTATATACCAATAATAAATGTTTGTACAAGTACACCAATAATTGCATACTTGGCAAGTATACTATCTTTGTAGACATTTTTTTGTAACAAACTCGGCGCTCACGCGGCGCGACTTGTGCCAAATAATTTCAAAAGGAAACCACTCACATAAAGGAGGATTTTGAAAACTCGTGTACTTGGCAAGTACGCCAATATTTGCGAACTTGGCAATTACACTACCTTTTCAACAACATTTTTTTGCAACTAACTTGACACACGCGCGGTGAGACGAATGACAAATAATTGCACAAGGAAATCACTCACACAACATGGTAAGTATATCCCAATAAAAAAGGTTTGTCAAGTACACGAGTCATGAGAATCCTGAGAATCCGCCTTTATATGAGATATCGGGTATATTTTATGTCCCCGGATTGTCTCTACAAGAGGAACAACTTTTTTTATTATTGACATTTTGAGAAAAATACATTCTTCATAAAAATTGTTGCTTGTTCTAAAATGGTTAATCCCGTTTATACTTTTCCAAATTTCCATACCGTTTTAGAGAAAATAAAAAAACATGAAAATATAATTGAATTTTTTAAAGTCCTAAAAATCAAAACGCGTTTCTATGATAATATAACTTCGTTTTCATTCTTTAATAGATTGTTATTCATAGAAATTTAATTAGCGTAATATTTTTTGTTGGTTTGAAATGTTAAAGAAGCACAAAATTTATTTAATTCAATGCTACGGAAAGGGCGATGATAGTTATCGGAAAATATGATACTTTAACAACAGCAAAGAATATGACGTTAATCAAAATTAATAATAAACATCCATAGTACAAAGAATACAAGGTATTGCACAGATTGGTCACTACGTCACAGGCGGTAAACGGCACCATTGGTCGACAATCTCGCAATATTTTGTCAAACAGATGACACATAATAAATGTGAAAATAATTTTTCAAATGTCAAGCTCCATGATTTGACATAACTTGTGGGGTTATGTCCTAATTTTTCCCTATTTTAGGGCTTTTATTATTAGTGTCAATTGAACAATATGGATATTTTTTTGTATGGCGTATGACGTCACAGGTGGTATGTTCAAACTTAACGAAATTGTAGCCGCTATCGATCATACCTTGTTTTCTTTGTAACATGATAAACATCTATCAAATAATGAAATCGAATTGACATTACCATAGATACGCTTTTTGATTTTTAGGACTTCAAAAAATTCAACCATATTTTCATATTTTTCTTAATTTTCTCTAAAACGGTATGAAAATTTGGAAACATGTAAACGACATTAACCATTTTAGAACAAGGAAAATGTTTATGAAGAATGCATTTTTCTCAAAATGTCATTGATAAAAAAGTTTTTTCTTTTTCAAAATAATTAATTAAAAAATTAAAAATATTCAAGACAATCCGGGGACCAACTGTATATCTAAACGTATCTGGTGCCTAAATTTAACCTCAAATAATAAACCTAATCAAAATATTAAGTTGATTTGTTGTAATATATTGTAAAACATTATTCTTCTCTTCCAGGGCATTATCACTCACCCTAACTGCAACTTCCGGCCGTTTAGGCGCCATCTTTGGCAACCTAATCTTCGGCATCCTCCTTGACATGAACTGCATCATTCCGGTTTACTTATTCGGATTCCTGCTCATGGCCAGCGGAATCCTGTGCCTGGCAATACCGAGAAACGAGGATTACATCACCATCCAGTAGCAGCGTAGTGTAGCGTTCCTTACGTATTCTACCTTTTAGATTTTCTCTTGTCACTCTCTGTGTTTGTCCGATAAATATTTGGAAAGCGCTCTTATCTTTCTCGATCTACGTAGATATACAGGGTGTGTCAAAATAGTTCCCAAACGGAAAGGAAAAAAAAATTATTACCGATAGTTCAAAAAAAGACCCAGTATCTAAAAGAAACATGTTGAGTTAGTCAGTAATATTAGTCATAACATGATCTAAAAATTATTATTTTTCGAAACTAACTGTATATTTTTTAAAATTAGCTAGCATACATAAAGCTAAATACTAAACTTTTTTTCTTCAATATTTTGATATACAATACTACGTTTTTCAAATGTAATTACACAGTGACTTTTCATTTACTTGTATGATACATACCAAAATAAATTTGTTGTTGCTAGACATGGCTGATTTATTATACTTTTTTCCGATACTTAATTATATAATATTTTTCCCATTAACTGGAAAATGTTTGACACCCCCTGTACAAAGAGAGACAATAATTTTAGATTTAAGTGACGACATATTGTGATGTTTTTTACTTTAATTTTTTATCTGTGACGATGTCTTTTTAGGATTTAGTTTTAAAAGCAATTATTTTAATTTATTTACTTTCGTATTTTTAGAACGAATAAAATAATATACATTTTTACACATCATACTTATCGAAGTTTTTTTGTAATATAAATGCTTTTGATTTACAGGGTGTCCAAGTTCGAAAACAGGTTATCTATTTCACTTTTTAAATCCAATTTATATTAAAAAGTATGCTGTAAAACACGTTTAAAAATATTTTCAAAGATGTACAGGGTGACTTAAATATGGTTTATACTATGGTTGTTCTTTTTTTAAATTAAATATTTTCTTTCGGTTAACGGTTTTGCCTCAAATTTCACCACATTTGAAGGTCTGTCAAATATACACACAAAAATATTATTTTAATAAAAAATATTTTCTAATAGTGTCTTTTTCAAAACTATTTCAATAGGTACACTAAAATTCACTGTATTGCATAGTATATACTGTATGATAGAAAAATAAAACAAACAAGGCAACTTGATGCTTGATGTCGCCGTTTTTTTTTATCATACTCCAACTATAATACGATCGAAAAAACGGGGTCAGCAATGGTTATGAAAAATAAATAAAAAGAGACTGACAAATCTCACGGTAAAGAGTGGGACCGCGTTCCCGTAGCGCAACTCAGAATAACAATTTTGAAACCAATTAGCAGGACCATGGCAGGACGTACGTTTTTATTGCTATCTTTCTTTATTATGTGTGCTTCATATAAAAAAGAAAGAGATAGGTATAAAACGTATCGTAAGACATTATCGCATATTCTGGCTGGCGGGAAATTTAAATTAGCCAATATTAGTAGTATACCACGTAAAGGGAACGTGGGGTGGGGAATAAATCAGTTTAAGTGAAAATTTTCAGTTTCTTTCAGAACGAAAGAATACTACTATTATAAAGGGAAATTATAAAAAAAGCAAAAATTGTACTGTTTTATAAACATACAGATTTATTTATACATAAAAATAAATATAATTTTTATAATATAATAACAAACAATAGCAGTGTTTATTCCACCCACCTACAAATTTTAAATGCAGAAGAAGTGACTGTTGCAGGAAACAATCGGCCAATTCTTTTAAAGGGCATTAAAGGGCTTCCTGGTTATTGCAGCCATTCCCAGACATTCTGGCACTTTTTTAAATTAGTTTATTTTAAGATTATTAAATCACATTAATGCAATGATAATTGCAATAACAAAGTGAATATCCAAGCAAAGAAGACTTTACGAGAATCATGACTCTCAACCATTTTCGGGTCCAGTTTTAATCCTAAAACAAAAGTAAAATAGGTATATTAATTAGGTTTCTATCTGGTTTATTGCTATTGATTTGATGATACTATAAACCAGCTATAAACTACCCAAAAAATGAAAAAAAAATGAAATGTATTAATTTGTTATGTTAAGAGAGGTTCAAAATATTTTTGACACTACTTCTCCTTTTTTCTTAATAGATTGATAAATATAACATACTGACTTTTATTTTACCGGGTGTCCTTAACATATCTATCAGAGAAAGGGGGTACCAATACATATAAAAAATAGATGAAACTGGCTCCTGCAGCAAATAAAATAACAAATAGTATAAGCCGAAATTATAAGTAACAAAAAATGACCTATCTGAAACAAAGGAATTTGTTCCCTATATAATTGGAAATTGTTATATAAGCTGAAAATTATTATGATGATGATAAATTCAATGCTACAGCGTTACCACTCTATTTAAAAAAAAATGGCAATAAAAACCTTAAATGAAAAATCGAATATGTAGTCACCCTGTAACACACTAAACCAAATATAAATATTTGCTATGCTAGGCTTTTGTTAAATTGTTAAAGAAAGAATGTTAGTTTTCGTTCAAGTGAACAACTTAATCCAAAATTAAACACCTAAAATGAGTTTTTCTTATACAAAATTGCCTTATTATGGGCCATGATAGCCACAGTGTTTAAATGAATAGGTCGGTAAATCGAACAACCCAATATTCAATATGGAGACTGAAGTAGATTTTATTGACAGCAGAAAAGCTAGTGTTATTAGTGATGTTAAGTCGCTCTCAAGACGAGGTAAGTGTCCCATTGCAAAATAAGTGTCTTATTTGCGTGTTTTTTTACAGGGTGTTTCTTTTATGTATAGAGTTATAAAGGTGTGATTTTTACATTACTGTCCTACTTTTTTATGAAACTAAAATTGCTGTATGTACACAGATTTGTCTTTTGCTTCTTATTTTCTGAGATATAGGGCGAATTAAATTTTTTCGACTTCCCTTGTATATCGAGTATCTTACAACATACTGAAAAGGTGAAAACTGAGTCCCACGAGTTTTTCACGTTGAATTCAGTAGCGTAACTTGTTAGGGATACCCTGCATATTATTTTTTATTTTATTTGCCTTGTTATGAGCTTTTTAAAAATATAATATACTTTATACTTAATTTTAAAAGCAAGGTAAAAAAATGCTCTACTTAACGTTTTCACAGGCGGCAATAAGTTATTCGACGTCAAATTTTGGTTTGTGGTTATTCCATCTTAGTTTCTTTGTCTGAAATTATTGCATAAATGCATTAAAAATATATAACTCTGATTGACGGCTGTTACCTAAAAGCTGCACAAGTTTATTTTCAGTTTAGATTATTAAGATAACACGATCGAAATATTATCTGGTTAAATTAGTTTACAAAAAAAATAAACACTTCTAAACCAGATTGATTTAAGTTAAAAGTTAAATAACTCTTTTTTTACCTCATTTATGAAAACAAATATAGAACATATTCAGTAATAGGCGGTGGGTAAATACCCAATAGGTATAATAAAGAATATTTCGTCAGTGTCGGGGAATCCGTTGTAAAATTCGAATATTCACCTAACCTAAATTGAACTGTCTGCGTTGTGCTGTATTTTCGATAAAGTTAAGGTTGTGGTGCTATCGTGCAGACTTTGTGGGGTAAAATAAGCAAGATTACAAGATACTTGTGTACATACCGGGTGTATGCACTGTGTATATCCACTGGGTATATACCGAATATAAAACATCGAGTATTTACCCAAATTACAATATACCGGGTGTTTGCCCATCTCTAAACATATTATATTTTTGAAAAGCGACTTAAAAATTAAATAAAATAAAATAATATACAAGATGTTACATTTAAAAAAAAACATAATTTTGAATCAGGTTTTGAAAATTATAGATCCCAGCGAAAAATTAGTTACTACTAGATTCTACGTAAAAACTCTATGGGATTCAGTTCTCACCTTTTCGAAAAGCTATAATATATAACCGCAAAAATTCGAAATATATATTTTCAAGTTCGCCCTGTTTTTCAGAAACTAAGGAAGCTTTGACAAATCTTTGTATAGCATCTTTACTTTCATAAATACCGCATGTTTGTATGTCTACTCACAAACAAGAAGAAACCCCATAAAATTCACGAAAATGGGACACCCTGTACTTTTCCTTCAGACATGTCAATTTAGTTGACATGTCTGAAGCTTTAATGTTTTAAAGCATTGAATAATCTGTAGTGTCAGAGCTGGATCCTGCGACATTCGAGGAGGCCATTGCCGAAACCAAATTTGGAAAATTCAATTTGTTGCTCTTCGTATTGGCTATACCAGCGAGTTTATGTACGGTATTTGATACGTCGACTATGTCATATACGTTTGTGGCTGCTCAATGTGATTTAGAACTCTCTTTAGATGATAAGGGCTTATTAAATGCAGTAACGTATGCAGGTATGTTCTACTAAAGTCTACTATTAAAAATAGTTAATAGTAATATAGTTCTACTATAAGCTTTTTTGTGCAATAATGGTACTTTTTTACTTGCTATTACCACTTGTGGTATTGTATAGTTACCTGTTCAGTTTTAATTTAAAAATAGATGCAGTTTATCTTAGATTACTTAAAATCGGCTTGTCCAAAATTGTTCAAATTTGATATGTGTATTCAGCCATACGCAGACCTTTAAAAACCTATTTACGAATTAGCTGTAAAATTAATAGGGGTGCCAATATTTGAACATCTCAAAATTTGCATAGAATTTCCTATGCTTTCAACGACGATGCCACTACCCGATATAACCCGGTATAAGAGTGTTTCCACAGTTTCCAATTTACTCAGACCCATTTTCTTCATGTCTTCTGTAACAGGATGTTTTTTAATATACAGAGTGGTCCGAACTGTATTCCGGAAATTTCGGCAGCATGTTCTGCAGATAAAAATAACTAAAATAGTTCGTATAAATGTATGTCCAAAAAAATGCCTAGTTTCGGAGATACAGGGTGTAGAAGTTTCATTTTTATTTCTCCATTTTTCCAAATAATTTATGAAGTAACGTCAATATATGAATGAAAATTGGTGTCTGGGACTTTTTTAACATGAGAAATTTGATTTTGATATCAATATGACTTTTTGTAGAAGACGCCACCTACATATTTTTAAGTAGCTTGAAGTGTAATAAATTTTCGTCCGTACCTGTATAAAACAACTGAGTAAAAATTATACATTTAAAACGTCTGTTGGTATAAATGTTATACGGGTAATGGTTCTCGAGATATTTGGTAGATATCGAAATTATCAATACCCTGTCATCATTGACATAAATTAAACATGGTCCAAGTACGAGTACACTTTAACCGTGACAAAAATGTTTTAATAAAAATCGGTTATCATATATAACGATAATTACATGATGATACTGATACATTATTTATAACAGCACTGTTATAATAAATTCATATATTACTATTAATACCATCTACTACCGTTTTTATTGAAATATCTTATAGTCGCTTATACAGGGTGTCACTGAAATGGTGTAAAAAAATCGGAGGGTGATAGTACTCCTAAAAATAGTAAAAAAAGTTCCTATAAGTATAGGGCGGAAAATGCATATTAAGGGAGTTAGGGGCACTGAAAGGGTGAATTTAAAAAACGGTTGTTTTGAAATTGTAGGCTTAAAAAACGAGATAAAATTTAAAAAAAATCCATTGCCATAAATTTTGACCCTAAATCAAATGGTTATACTGAAAAATTATTTGGAAAAGCGGAAAGGGTAGTTTTTGCAAGGGTAGGAGGTTGTTTCGTAAATAACTTTCTTGAGGTTATTTTTTTTGCAATGTGGGTTCATTTTTTGAAAACTACATACCCTTTCCTACAAAAAAGGTACTCTTGTTGCACATCGCCCAGACTGATGGTTTTCGTGAAAATTGAAGGCAAAAAGTTTGCTCTGATGGGTTGCTAACTGGTTAATCAACATAAATTTATGAATTATGGCGGTTCAAAAGTAACCAAGTAGTTATTAAATAATTAATTGTAAAACCAAAATTTCGTGATTTTTAAAACATATTTTTGCTTTAAAAACGAAATAAACAAATTACCAAAATTTCTTATTAAAATAATACATTCCTTAATTCATTCATAGTAAATGTTCAAAGTGACCATTCATTTCAATGCAGACATCTGCTCTTCTTCTCCAAAATCTGCGTACCCTGTTGAATATCCTTGGTGTTGTCCGAATTTGATTGGAACAATCAATAATGCGTTGCCGTAGTTGCTCTTCAGTATTAATCGGTACTGAGTAAACCAAAGCTTTCATGTGGTCCCAGAAGTAGAAATCTAGTGGGTTATTTAGTTTTTTTAAAGCAATAAGATGTTTTAGAAATAATGAAATTTTGATTTTTTAATTAATTATTTGATAGCTAATTGATTACTTTTGAACCGCCATAACTTTCATAAGTTTATGTTGATTAACCAGTTAGCAACCCATTAGAGCAAACTCTTTGCCTTCAATTTTCTCGAAAACCATCACTCTGGGCGATGTGCAACAAGAGTACCTTTAAGTATGGAGTTTTCAAAAAATGAACCCACGTTGTAAAAAAAATAAGCTCAAAAAAGTTATTCGCGAAACAACCCCCTACCCTTGCAAAATCTACCCTTTCCGCTTTTCCAAATAATTTTTCAGTATCACCATTTGATTTAGGGTCAAAATTTATGGCAAACAATTTTTTTTCAAAATTTTTACTCGTTTTTTAAGCCTACAATTTCAAAACAACCGTTTTTTAAATTCACCCTTTCAGTGCCCCTAACTCCCTTAATATGCATCCCCCCCCCCCAGATTTTTTACACCATTTCAATGACACCCTGTATTTATTGGAGAGATTTAAGGTCATTGTTTTTGTTTTTCTTTTGGTTAATGTCTCTTTTCTCACAGTTAACAATATGTGATTGTGTTCTATATAATAATATTTAAACAAGTTTATAGGTTACACTATTACCGTATCATGTAAAAAGTGTTTTAATTTATTTTTATCTTATTATTTAATGTGCTATATTTTTTTTATTATTTAATTTTTTATTATTTAATGTGCTATATACATTCTTTATTCTTAACGAAGTATAAAAAACACTCAAAGTTATACTTCTCTTTAATTTTAAACCAGGTCTCATTGAGAAGAATGGACGCCTTCTTTAAAATTCTTTATTCTATTTACGCTTACAGATAGTATAAAGAATATAGGGCGTGCATATGGGCTAATATTCAATACTTAACACTATTACCCCCAGTGGTAATTCTTGCAAAATAGACCTCCGACCATTTTTTTTGTATACGCGTTTTTACATGCTATTATAGCGATGTAGCCAATAACTTAACAATATTTCCACCAAGATAGTCAAAAATTTGTTTTGTGGTAAGCGATGTAAGTTTTTAATATTACTGTTATTCTTCTTCTTCCAATAGAATTATATCTGTGTAAAACAGCTATCAAGCCTCTTGTGACACAGAAGTCAAACTTTCGTACCACCTTTTTGAAAGTCCGTCAGGTGGTCTGAAAGTATTAGGAATTGTTGTTCGCACCCTTCGCACCCATTTTGCTATTCTGTCGCGGTCCATTCTTTCATAATGGTCTTCTCAATCACGTCTTCTTGATCTTCCCCACCTCCACTATGTATTGTATTTCCAGTTCCATTCTGACGGTCGCAGTTTCGCATTCCATCTCTTAATGTGACTCCGTATATCGTTCTTAATCTTTTCATTTCTGTTATTCTGAGCATTGTTTTTAACTAGCCTGACAGAAGTCTTGTATATGTGAATTTTGTTTTTCCTTTGCATGAATTTAATACTTCATAATGGTATCTCTTAAATAGCCAGATATTCGTGCTGCTTTATTTGCTTCTATCCTGGCTTCATCTAAAAAAAATCTGTAACAAGAGATATATTCACGCCCAAGTAATTAAATTGGGAGACTTGGTTGTTTGGTTGTTCCAACGGGTTGCGAGTTTTAGATATATTTAGTACGATACCTGTATGCTTACATATTGAAGCTAGTAAATACTTTAATGCAGGATAAGTCCTACAAAAAAGTTTTTGTTCAAGTCCCTTGTAGGGTTTTACCTGTAACGCCACAAAGGAAAATAAAAGTAACTAACAGTAAAATAAAAGTAATTTAAAGTAAAATTAAAGTGTTATACTGCTTCCAATGGGTAAGCCTGTAGGTATAATCTAAATATCCCTTAAAATCCGATATTATATGTTTTCTTTCATAAACGAGCTCTTTTTAAATGGTTACAGTACTTTTTAATTGAATTAGTAAACAATAATCTATAAATATGTAAATATTTTTTTTGCAATTTTAGGTATGATCTCTAGTGCAATAATTTGGGGATTTCTATTTGATGTCCTTGGAAGAAAAAAACTTTTAGTAATCGGCTTCCTTGTCGACTCCATATTTGTTTTCACAAGTGCCTTGACACAAAATATTGCTTTACTACTAGTCACCAAATATTTACAAGGCTTTATGTATGTTGATTGTACTTGTTCTAAAATACTAATTTCAGTAACTTAACGCTTATAAATTGTAGCATTAATGGACCATTCGCAGCTCTAAGTTCATATATGTCCGAATTCCATAGCGCCAAATACAGGCCCATGTGTCAAATTATTATTGGTTCGTGTAATAGTTTTGGAACAGCGTTCCTTCCACTGATAGCCTGGTTGATTTTACCGTATAAAATTGACTTCTTTGTTGGGGACTACAGTAAGTATCACGTTTATTTTTTTAAGCATAAGAACATTAGGGAAATAAAACACAATAGACCAAAACACTTTAGTTTTACCACCAACTCCATCAGCAGATAATTAGAACTAATCTATTATCTACAAATTGAGCATTTATAGAGTCACTCGGTTGGTACTGACCAAGCCAATTGACCAAATTAGCCAAGCGTGTCAGAATCACTTCAGCGTAACAACTTAATAACCGAAATTAGGGCAATAGAGAAAGAAAGAACTGGAAGAATAGGACTTGAACCATTATCTCTGTTCATATTTTATTTATATTTATTTATTTTGATTTATTTAAAAACAAACTTTTGAATTAAAATAATGCATACCTAATCGTTGGATAAACTATAGTTTGTGTTAAGACCTCGGTTAAGACAGAGTATATGCTTCGCACAATCCTCAAAAATCGTGTATTTGAATTTAGATAAGATAAGACGTTAATAATAAAGCTACTTGAATTTTACAACCTCCATCTCTCCAACCTTTATTAAATATTTAAATATTCCAGTAGATGTATCTATAGGGTATTTCAAAAAACATGTGCCATCTCTTGGGGAGATTTCTCACGTAAAAATACGATTTATTTTTCATATCAACATAGGTCCGATTCTGCTTTGTTTCGTAGCTAAAAGATGATACAGTCTTGATAATCTTTCGATTTAGTATAATTTTCATCCCAGTACCCTCAGTGATTCGAACAAAATTTTAAGGGTAAAAGTTACTATAAATGCTACATATTCTAATGCTTAAACAGTGTCGATAAATTCATCAGGGACGTGCATATCGGTTATCACTGGAATATTTTTCAAAACAAAAACACGTGCGCCAGTGACTTTTTCTTGCGATATCAAAATTGTATAAGCCGTTTAATGCCAACTAAAAGTTATCTCTTATTATTTTGTCAAATTCGGCCTGCTTGATGAGATAAACTCTATTTTATTAATCACAATTAAGAAAATTAAAATAAAAATAAAATTAATAAATTATATATTTACCTAATTTATTATTAAATATTATTACTATTAGCTATTATTACTATTAGTCCAACCTACAGCAATTTGGAATAAAAAATATATATTTAAGATAATACAAGAAACATAAGTGTTAAAAAAAATTAAGACCCTGTAACTCTAAACTATGCATTTTCATAGCCATGGTTATAGGAACTTTTTTCATATTTTTTGATAAGGAATCAATGAGTACTTATATGTATAAAACTTTCGCAAATTAATGGTGTTAAAATTTTTTAAAGGTTGCTATTAGACTCGGATCAAGGCAAATTAATAAAATTACGTTTATCTCATCAAGAAGGCCGAAATCGACAAAATATCAAGAGACCACTTTTAATCGGCATTAAACTTCTTATGATATTATACTAATTCGCTAACAAGAAAAAAAGTCAGTAGCGTACATGCTTTTTTTGGAAAAATATTCCAGTAATAACCCATATTCACGTCCCTGGTGAATATGTCGACACTTTTTTTGCTTTAAAATATGTCGCATTTATAGTAACTTTTACCCTCAAAATTTTATTCGAAGCGCTAAAAGTAGTTGGAAGAAAATTATAATAAATCGTCAAAATATTAAGACTTTAAAACCCTGTAGCTGCGAAACAAAGCAGAATCGGACTTATGTTGATGGAATATGTCTTTATTTTAAAAAAAAAAGCATGTACGAAACTGACTTTTTTTCTCTTGTTAGCGAAATAGTTTGGTTTGGTTTGGTTAACTTTTAACTGGCATTAAACTGCTTATGCCAATTAAAAGTTGTCTCTTGATATTTTGTCGATTTGGGCCTCCTTTATGAGATAAACGCTATTTTATTACTCTGCCTGAACTTTTAAAACATTTTAATATTATTAACTTGCAAAAGTTTTAAATACGTATTCATTGATTCCTCATCAAAAAATATGAAAAAAGTTCCTATAAACATTGGTATGGAAATGCATAGTTTTAGAGTTACAGGATGTTACAACTTTTTAAAATTAGGTTTTTCGTAATTATTTTAAATACTATTATTTTTTTAATTTATTGCTGTAGGTTGGACTAATAGTAACAATAACTAATAGTAATAATATATTTAATAATAAATCAGGTAGTGCCAGTGCATCATAATCGCCCAGACATGGTTTTCCAAGACATACCAGCGAAAAAAGTTTTTTTAGTATTTTTTGTATATATACTTTACCCTTAAAATTTCATTCGAATCAGTAAAAGTACTTGGAAGAAAATTATAATAAATAGAAAGATTATTAAGACTTTAACACCCTGTAGCTACGAAACAAAGCAGAATCGGACCTATGTTGAGATGAAAAATAAATGTTATTTTTACGCGAGGAATCTCCCCACGAGAGATGGCACATGTTTTTTGAAACACCCTGTATAAATAAATATTTGAAAAACTCAGTATGTTTTCAGGTTTTCATTCTTGGAATATCTTCTTACTTGTAAGCGGTTTACCAGCATTCACCAGCGGTCTATTCTACATGTTTTTACCTGAAAGTCCTAAGTTTCTCATGACATGCGGACAAAACGAGAAAGCTTTGGAAGTGCTGAGGAGAGTCTACAGCATCAACACAGGAGAACCAAGAAGCTCTTATCCTGTAAGCCGTATAAACGACTTACAGTAAAAATAATTTGATTTGTTGCTGTTATAGATCAAAATGCTCATCGACGAGACTAAACTGAACGGAAATAACAAACATGGAGGGAAAGTAACTGCTCAAAGAAGCACAACTCAGGCCTTGAAAGAAGGATTGCAGCAGATTAAACCGTTGTTCTATCCGCCTCATCTAGCGAAAGTTTGTCTTACTTGTAGCATCATGTTCTTTAGCGTAATGAGGTAAGTTGTTGATGTACGCCTGTGGATGTACTGTCAAAACTCGATGTGACATGTGTCGTTGTTCATCAAGTAATGTACAGGGTGGTCGAAATTTCTGTCTGTTTTAACAGAGAAAACCTATTTCCTTACTAGATAGAGCAAAACCGACATAGATGTCATGGGTTTGATTTCTGAGACACGTTTAATGACGTAAACCGCCTGTTGATATTTTCACTGCCAACTGAGATATGGGGTCTTTTTGCATTTTTTACCATTTGGAAAATTGACCATAACTTTTGAATTTCGCGGAATAATAAAATTCTGTAAAAACGTTCTTAAAGCACTTTTTCAAGCACAATCCAGTGGCGTAGTCAGTTTTTCTCTAGAGTTGCTCTTTTTGTCAGAAATAATAAAAAATATAATTTTTTAAATGGAAATGATAGTTGGCTATGAAAAATGCTGGCGTTTAATCCTTTCCAACGATATAAAGTTATGTGTATTTATTTTTAAGAATGAGAGAAATATTACGTTTTTTATATTTATATCGAAGCGGGCCTTGATTTTGTGCTGACCTACTTGTCTAATTATTTTTTATCACAATTTAATATTCTATTGTATCATTTATCTGCACAACTAAAGAATTTTGAAAAGGTGTAAATCAACATTCTATATTAACATTATCAATTAGAATTAAAACGCCATAGTTACAAGCGAGCTATTAAATGGAGAATTTAGAGAGAATTGGATTGGAACAAGGGGCCCCATATCTTAGCCTGCTAGGTCCTATGATTTAACTTCTTTCGACTTTTTTATGGAGGAAATTAAAAGACCTAATATATAAAAACCATTGGGACGAGAGAAGAATTACAGAAGGCTACTAGGCAAGCTTTTGGACTTATTACACCAGTTCGCCTAATAAATCTCTGTAACTCTGTGCGTAAAAGATGTTTATTGTGTATTTAACAAGCAGGTGCTCACGCAGAAGCTTGTTACACTCACATCTTTAATGATTTTTTTTAAAGTATATTCGTCACTCAAAAAAACGTTTTTTTAGTTTTGTTCTTTGTTTATTGTATCGATTTCAATTGTAATTACTAATACTAGTATAGATTGTTAATTTACCTTTTCAAAAGTCTTTAATTATGCAGATAAATAATAATTACAATATAAAATTGTAAAAAACTTATTAGGCAAACAGGTCAACACAAAATCAAGGCCCGCTTCGATATAAAGATAAAAAACCCTAATATTTCTCTCATTCTTAGAATTAAATACCCATAACTGTATATCGTTTGAAAGGATTAAACGCCAGCATTTTTTTAAGTTCATAGCCAACTATCATTTCCATTTAAAAAATTATACTTTTTATTATTTCTAACAAAAAGAGCAAGCATAGATAAAAACTGACCACGTCACTGGGTTGTTTTTAAAAAAGTGCCTTAAGAACGTTTTTACAAAAATTTATTATTCTGCGAAATAAACATGTTATGGACAATTTTCAAAATGGTAAACAATTCAATAAAACCCCGTATCTCAGTTGGCAGTGAAAATATCAACAGGCGGTTTATGGCATTAAACGTGTTTCAGAAATCGAGCCCATAACATCTATGTCGGTTTTGCTCTATCTAGTCAGGAAATAGGTTTTCTCTGTTAAAACAGACCAATTTCGACCACCCTGTATACAAAACATACCCCTTTAGAATTTTGACTTATATGTCATGAAATGAAAGCAAAAGAAGTGCCCCCTTGAGTTTGTTCGCGCATTAAATTCATGAAATATCGATCCCTATATTTAATTTAATTTTTTTGAATATTACACGATATTCTTTGATATTACTACACAAACTAATATTACAGAAACATTTTTTTAATTAAGAAATAGGTATGTTGTTCTGTGAACAATTCAAATTTTAGGTCAATACTAACAATGTGTCCACCAGTAAATACAATAGTATCCAAAACATACAAAAGCGGATTAAAAAATCCTCAATTATTTAAAAACATGTATTTTATCTAAGCATTATGATCTGCAACCAGATTTAAATTTTAGGTCAGTACCATAGACAAACAAATAAAAAGAGACTGGCAAATTAAATGGCAAAGAGAGGGACAACGTTCCCGTAGCGCAACTCAGAGCGCAAAATTTCGTTCTATTTATGTTGATCTGCGCATTGCGTCTATTGGGCCCACTATCTCATTCTAATATAACAAGAGAGAAAGAAGCAGCCATATAAAACGTAATTTCTAAATAGAAATTAGAACAATCGTCTTTCGTTTTCGTCATCATGACAACCAAGATGACAACATCATGACAATTCGTCATGTTTGTTAATTTTTCTTTTGGTGATTTACCTTTTTTTCTAAACTTTCCATTTTATTGACTTATGAATATGGATAGGGAACAAATTCGACCACAAATTCCTTTGTTCCATATAGGTATTTATATTTTGTTACTTATAATTTTAGGTTATACTATTTGTTATTTTATTTGCTGCAGGAGCCAGTATCATCAATTTTTTATATGTATTGGTGTTCTCTTTCTCTGATAGATATGTTAAAGACATCCGGTAAAATAAAAGTAAGTAGTTTTATTTACCATCTTATTAAGAAAAAAGTAAAAGTAGTAGTGTCAAAAATATTTCGAACCTCTCTTAACATAACAAATTAATACAATTATTTTTTTTCATTTTTTGGGTAGGTAGTTTATAGCTGGTTTATACTAACCAGAAACATTATTAATATACCTATTTTACTTTTGTTTTAGGATTAAAACTGGATTTGAAAATGGTTCAGGATGATGATTCTCGTAAAGTCTTCTTTGCTTGCATATTCACTTTGTTATTGCAATTAGGCTGTTTTTTCGAAAATGAGATTTTTCAACAGTCAGTTCTTCGGCGTTTAAAATTGGTAGGTGGGTGGAATAAACACTGTTATATTTTGTTATTATATTATCAAAAGTTTATTTATTTTTATGTATAAATAAATATGTTTATAAAACGGTACAATTTTTGCTTTTTTTATAATTTCTCTTATAATAGTTATATTCTCTCGTTCTGAAAGAAACTGCTAATTTTCACTTGAACTGATTTATTCCCTACACCGCGTTCCCTTTACGTGGTATAGGGAATAAATCAGTTTAAGTGAAAAATTTCAGTTTCAGAATGAAAGAATACTACTAATAATGGCTAATTTAAATTTTCCGCCAGACAGAATGTGCGACAATGTCTTACGATACGTTTTATACCTATCTCTGTCTTTTTCATATAAAGCACACATAATAGAGAAACATAACAATAAAGACGTACGTCCTGCCATAGTCCTGCTAATTGGTTTCAAAATTGTTATTCTACTAAGAGTTGCGCTACGGGAACGCGGTGCCACTCTTTACCATGAGATTTGTCAGTCTCTGTTTATTTGTTTGTCTATGGTCAGTACTGATAATGTTTCTACCAGTAAATACAACAGTATTCTAAACATACATAAGCGGATTAAAATAATCATCATTTAAAAACATAGATTTTATCTGAATATTATGATTTTATTTCATAATGTTGATACCCGTACATTACTTTCATGTACAGATGCCTGAGTCTTATATTAAATTATACTTAATTGGATTAGAAAAGCTTCTTATGTTTTATTTTGAGACTACCGGTCCTTCAGTAAATTTTTTGCATTGTTAAAGTATACTTTATGCCCTGTATCCCATTATGAGTCCATTTCTATATACCGGGTGCGTCTCAAAAGTGGCTCACCCTTATAACTTTTTTATTTTTTTAGATAAAAAATTGAGATTTGGTATGCTAACATATGACATAAATTAGGATTGATTGACGTATTCAATTGTTTTCTGCCACTTCCTGTTTTGCCGGAAAAGACTACAACTTTTGATTTTTAAATTGCACTCTCGGTTTTTTGTTGCTTTATTCGATAGAAAATGATACTCTGAATAGAATGACATAACATATGGCAACTTTGACATTTTCGAATATGGTTTATCTGAAATTGTAACATGCGGTTTATAACGACAATTTGACTCGAAATACCAAGTGTGTGGTACCAAATCATTCGTAAAAAAATGCTTTTTCTGAATATGCTAATGAGCCACCCTCATTCCACTTGAAAAAAATGAGATATGATTAAAAATACGTTTTGGGCATCTTTTAACCAGCCAGGACAAGACACGAATAACATTAGACGATCAGACCTATTTTTCCAAGGCGCCTTGATTAAAAATTAGTTTTTAACACAGCCATGGCACTCTAGATTGAAATTTAAAATTCAATTTTGTTTTGAACAAAAATGTCAAAAGTTGACATATGATATGTCGTTCTATTCAGAATGTCATTTTCTATCGAATGAACTAAAAAAATACCGAGGGTGCTATTTAAAAATCAAAAGTTGTAGTTATTTCCGGCGAAACAGAAAGTGACAGAAAAAAATGGAATACGTCAATCAATCCTAATTTATGTCGGAGTACCATACCAAATCTCGTTTTTTTATTAAAAAAAAATAAAAAAGTCATAGGGGTGAGCCACTTTTGAGATGCACCCGGTATATAATCGGGTTACAACGTTTTCCGTCTTCCGATTCCTAATCTCCACCTCTCTCTATCTCCCCATCCATCTACTTCCAAACTTCTGTACAAAACTTCTTATGTTTTCTGCATTGGCGTAACTGCAGGGGTGCCCGGAGGTGCCGGGCCCCCCCTATGTACTGCTGGGCACCCCCAAGAGAAATCTTGAATTATGACTCTTGGCTACGTATTAATTTTTATTTGCTTGTGATGTAGTAAAAATGACGTTTTCTAGTTTTGTTTAGTTAATATTATTTTGTTGTGTTTAAAAAATGTGTTAATTTTTATTTTTTTGAGAAAATTTGTAAGTATTTAAGTAATCGACGGGAACACGGTTTGATAACCAAGTCTATGAAATTTATTGATAGAGAAATTCATGTAAACGTTTTATTCAAAAAATGTTTTTTTTTAATTATTCTTCATTTTAAAAAAAAAGCCTTAGCCCCCCC